CGCGCTTTCTCTATTATACACAACCCTTTACCACCCTCACACTCCCACCTACCTCAAAGAACACTTTAAGTTCCTAGGGGCAAGTTCCCAGCTCGCTCTAGAGCTTCGCTCTCGCAGTGAAAGATTACTAGAAATCCCATTAGTCCATTCCAAATCCTATAGTGAATCTTTCACTATTAAGACGGTGAAGCTCTGGAACGAGCTTCCAAATGAAATAAGACAGTCTAAGTCAATAAGCATTTTTAAAAAGCGTCTCAAAACACATTATTTGTCGCTTTACAACTAAGCTGTCATTATAGTTGCATGTATTATATTATTGTGTATATTATGTATGTTTATTATTATTTTATTATATTATTATGTATATGTATGTTTAAGTATTTAAACAATAAATATTTATTGTATAAATAGTATTTTATATATGTATTTTTTATGTATGTTTATAATATGTAATACTTCTATTGAGTACACTTTATGCACCTTTCCGCTTTCTGTTAACTTTTGTATCCTACTTCTAGCGGTTGCCTGTAAGAGATCACTTTTAGTGATAAGGCCGCCTTTGCACATTTCTTTAAATGTATTTTTTTTGTATGTATCATTTTTATTTTTGTGTGCAATAAAGTGTTTAAAAAAAATAAAAACCTACACTCCTCGCGAGTATGCTGAAATGTATTTCATTTACGGTCTGTGTGATGGCAACGCACGGCAAGCTGCCCGTACGTATCACCAGCGTTATCCTAATCACGATCGTTATCCTGATCACCGAATTTTTCTCCGCGTGAATAACGCGTTTTTGGAAGGCAGAATTCCCGGGGCTGTGAATACTACGGGAAGGCCTAGACTAGTTAATGAACATCAAGTACTGGCGGAAGTGACAGAAGAACCTTCTACCAGTGTTCGCCGTATTTCAAGACGTACTGGTGTCGCAAAAACTACTGTACATCGCATTTTAAAGCGAAACAATTTATACCCTTACCACATACAACGAGTGCAACAAGCACTTTTACCTGCCGATTATCAACGGAGGATAGATTTTTGTCGAGAGATTCTTCGCCGATGTCGACAAGATCCACTCTTTTTTCATTCCATATTATGGAGCGATGAATCATGTTTTAAAAGAAATTAGAGTGTTTAACATTCATAATCTACATGAATGGGCTGTAGTAAATCCACGAATCGTAAGAGAAGACAGATTCCAGCACCAGTTTGGAGTTAATTTGTGGGCTGGAATCTTAGATGGCAAACTTATCGGTCCATTTGAGCTCCCATCGAGGCTTAATGGTACTCGTTACCTACAATTTTTAAGGAATGACCTATCTAATTTATTAGTAGACATACCACAAGAAGTTTGCGAGAGGATGTGGTTACAGCACGATGGTGCACCCGCTCACTATTCAAGACAAGTGACTGATTATTTGAACCAGTCGTACCCAAATAGATGGATTGGACGCAGAGGTACAATTTCATGGCCAGCTCGCTCACCTGATCTTAATCCATTGGATTATTTTCTATGGGGCTATTATAAGGAAGCAGTCTATGAAACATCTGACATGAATGAAAGGCAGTTAAGAGAAAAACTGAATGTTGTTACTCAAATAGTCAAAAGTAATGAACGGGCATTTAGAAATTTAAAAAGAAATTTTATTAGAAGGCTAGGGAATTCTTAATCACCTGTGTATGTAAATTATGTCAATTAGAAGGTGCTGGTTATGCATAAGAGCAAGAGGAAAACATTTCGAACATTTGCTGTAATAAATAAATAAAAATGTCATAAGTTTCTACTTGTTTTATTGTCAATATCGTGGAAAAAATGGTCACTAATGTAGTTTTAAAATTAATATTGTTTTTTGTTATTTTAAAAACTCAAATAAATTATAGCTTTTTGGAATCAGTATGAGTTGTAGATATTTTTAAAATAAAGTTCCACAAGGCTGTCATACATTTTTTTACACTAGCTTCTTTCAAACATCACGTCGCAAATTTTGAAATTTGATATTTGCTCAAGTTTTGATTTTTTATTTTATTTGTGGCAATAATTATGCATGAGTACCAATTTATTTAGAAGGACACATGTTTTGTCAACCCCTTTAAATGGAAATAAAGTGTATAACAAAAAATATTTTGATAAAATTTTAAAGTTTTGTGTTGATAGAATGAAAATTTTAAAATCTTACTTAAAACATCATATCTTTTAAACTACTGAACCTAGGACAATGAAATTTAGTGTTTTCAATAGATAATGATCCCCTCCATCACCAGTGTCCCGTTGGTCCACTACTTACGGGACACCCTGTATACTCGTAAATTTGAATATCGTGCGGTCATAACATTCTTCGTTTTGGATGGATTAATCCCTAAGAAAATTCATTTAAAGTTGATGAAAATTTACAGGGACTCTGCTCCTTGATTGTCAATTGTTAAAAAGTGGGCAGCTGAATTTAATCGTGGTCGCACGTCCTCCAAAGATGACCCCCGTCAAGGACGGCCAAAACCGCAACCACACTGGAAACCATCGAAAAGGTGTACGATGTCGCGTTGGACGATAGGTGAGTGAAGGTGAGCGAGATACCTAAGGCTGTGAGGATATCGGAAGAAAGGGCGCGAAACACCTTGCATAAAGAATTAGGGGTGAGAAAGCTATGAGCAGGATGGGTGCCGCATTTGCTAAACATTGGTCAAAAGCAAACGAGCAAACAACATTCGCAGCATTGTGTGCACTGATTCAATAGGGATCCGATCGATTTTGTGCGGTAATTTGTCATTATGGTTAAGACATGGGTCCACCACTATACGCTAGAAACGAAATAGCAGTCAAAGCAATGGGTAGAAGCCGATGATTCAGCGTCAAAGAAAGTGAAGTGTAGGTGACTTATATTATAATATATTTAATTTATCATATTTATACATTAAACTTTCATTTCATAATATTTATATTTTATTAAATATTTAATTTACGTATTTATATTATCTACTCACCTACATACACACATACAACACGTTTATATAATTATTTATATTTATTAAATAATATTTATTCATATACATTAAATCGACAAGCATAGCCGCGCGAAACCGGTAGTATACAGTGGATCGGAATTTGTTTTACTTCTACCGACCACTAGTAACATTTTTCTTAACAAAGCAGTCGATGCTTTGCCGTTCGATGCTAATTACTTGTCTTTATATAATTTAATCGTTTTCGTGAGATATTGTATGTGGACTTTATATGTTTGTACTGTAACTCTTTGTGTCATAGTGTATTTCCCTAAACGTTCCTTCTGTACTGTATTTACGTGTGAGTTGACTTTATTATTATAATTTCATCAGTGACGTAACATATTCTTTTATTTGTGATTTATCGTCACGCAACCACCACCAAATGAAGTCCATCGCATCTGCCGGAAAGGTTATGGCCAGTGTCTTTTGGGATGTGAAAGAGATTATCTTGAAAAAGGCAGAACAACTACAGGCAATTAATAGTACTCCAACCTTCTTGACCAGCTGGATTCCAAAATTCGTGAGAAGAGGCAGCGAAGAAGAAACAAATCACCTTTCACTAGGACAACGCACCAGCTCACAAAGGTACTTTGGCGATCAGAAAACTGCAAGATTTGGGGTACGATTTGCTCGGCCATCCCTTTTATTCTGCTCCTTTGGTATCCTTAGACTTCCATCTGTCCCCAAACTTAAAGAAATTTGTGTCTAGGAAGCGCTTATCATCCAATCAAGAAGTTGAGATAATATTTTCATAGACTTCCAGACTCTCACTTCCGGGAAGGAATACTGGTGTTGGGGAAACACTGGACCAAGTGTGATGAAGTCAAGGGAGATTATGTAGAAAAATAAAATCATTGTTTAACTGAAAATCTCAGTTTTTCATTGTTAGGCCGAGAACTTTTCACCTTGCCCTCGTATATATAAAAAATATGAATTAGAAGGCAAACCCGAGTGATCGCGTTGTTTAGCTTGCATGCTATCGACGTGTAATGCCTACGCGCCACTCGCCGTTGCCGCGGATCGTACCGCGCGACTGTTCATTAGCCATAAGTAATTTTTACGCATGCAACAACACTGCTCGTGACATTAGCTACTTACTTAATTTCCCGTTTTTATGTGTAGTTTTGAGTTCGAACTTTCTGTGTTAATTTTTTGTGACTATTTCGTACGCTGTCTAAAAAAATTTTTTACTTCTGATGTACTGTTTTTAAGTGTAGTAAATATATGTGAGTTGATTAACTTTGAGATTTTTATTTGAGTGAGATATTTTGATCTTTACACTTAATACCTCTAAACTGGTGACCACTAATCGAACACGGACAGTAAAAAAATAAATCGTAAAATGAGTGATAGCGGTGATTCAGCAAAAACGGCCGGCTCACAAAATGGCGGCCACGTAACAACGCGCCGAGCACAAAGAGTGCGCGTTTCATCAGATCGCAACATTAAACCAGGGCGGAATATTAAAATAAAGGTGCCACCGTTTTCGCCGGAAGATTCGGAACTGTGGTTTGCTCTCTTGGAAGGCCAATTTGTAAGCAACGACATCCACGACGACCGCGTGAAATTTATCAACGTGACCAACAACCTAGACATTCAATACGCAAAGGCTGTAAAAGATATTATTATAAACCCTCCGGCTAGGTACAGGTACGAGAAGCTGAAAGCGGAGTTGATTAAGCGCCTCTGAGACTCACATGAAAAAGAGGGTTATGCAACTCCTGACTCGCGAGGAACTTGGCGAAAGGAAGCCTTCACAATTCCTGAGGCACTTGAGAGACCTAGCTGGACCTTCAATGCCAGATGACTTCATCAGATCGTTATTGAGCAGTCGCCTTCCTCAAGGCGTGTCCAAACATAGCGCGGCAATCGTGAGCGGCATGCCGCGCGCGATTTCCGCGCTGTGTTTGGACGGCCGCCGCGCACGAATGCCGCGTGTTGCTGCCGCGCGCGAACGAGGCGCGTAGTGTTCGTTCGTCAGTGAAGGTGTGTGGACGTAAACGATGGATAACGAAACGGCAATTCGACTTATTGAAATATATGGTTCATTTAATGCATTATGGGACACCAGGCGCAAAGAATATCATAACAATAATTTAAGAGAAGACATGTGGGATGAAATCGCAAAAAATTTCGAGCAACCGAAAGCAGTTCTAAAAACCAAAATGAAAAGTCTTTTAAGCTCATACAGAAGGGAGAGAAACAGAGAAAAAACGAGTAACATTACTGGTTCGGGTAAGTTTAATCTTTTATTTAATGATATTGATGAAATGACAATAAGTACTCCTACAGCAAACAATAACAAAATGAAGTACTTGTAACAAAAGATTCTATTCTACTTACATATAGGTATCTAAGTTAAATGTATACTGTGGTATATGTAGTTCTTGGAATTTACGTAACCGAGTGAGCTTTATTTGTGGTTACGTCGTGTACATGTATAATTGTGTAAGTGTGCGTGCCTGTCGGAGCCTAGGTGAGAGCGGTCAGGCGCATGCATTGCGCTCGCTCACATAATGATAGTAATATGGTTCGTACGCAGTTCGCACGTTTGTAATGCTCAACTAAGTATAGTACGTTTTTTCATGCACGACCCAAAATATAAATAAATATGGCAAACCGATTGAGTTTGACATTTCTTAGAGCGCAAAATCATTGAATGAATGTTTTTAATAAATCAATGAATTAGTGCAATTACTTAGATTGAATAATTTTCGAAATACGTATAATCATCATCGAAATATTTTGGTTAAAATATGTGACCGTTGTAAAATATGTTTAACGGTCTGATCAGCTGGTAAACTAGACTGATGGTCGTGAGTTTATACACACATGTTTAGGAAAGTATTTCTCACAAGCAGATGGATATAACAGAATTGACACTTTTATTGTTACAGATAGAAACAAGGCCTACAAGTCTAAATGGTTTGCCTACGAATCTTTCCACTTTTTGCATGATAGGGGTAATCCTATTGACACAGTGGTAAGTACGCTAATTTCATACATACATTCATGTATAACCATACTAATATTATAAATGCGAAAGTGTGTTTGTTGGTTTGTCCTTCAATCACGCCGCAACAGAGTTACGGATCGACGTGATTTTTTGCATAGGTATAGCTGAGGACCTGGAGAGTGACATAGGCTACTTTTTATCCCGGAAAATCAAAGAGTTCCCGAGGGATTTTAAAAAATAAATTCACGCGGACGAAGTCGCGGGCGTCATCTAGTTTCTCATAACGTAATTATTTAATATCTATCTTGCCAAATAATCGACCCGTTTGCCATAAAATGTTCTGCCAAAAAATTACGAATATCGGTTGGAGTGCCACCTATACATTCGTTCGGTGTTAAAGTAACTGATTCATTCATTGAGTTATTAGAGGTTGTTATTGAAGAGCTGTTTCGAAGAAAATTATGCAAGTGAACAGCAGCTAGAACTACCTTTTTAGCTGATGTTGGGTTTAACATAATTGCATTTCTCAGTACTCTAAATTTAGACGCCAAAATACCAAAAGCATTTTCAACTACTCTACGTGCTCTCGATAGTCTGTAGTTAAAAATCCGTTCTTTAGACCCTTTTGAATGAATTCCTGCAAAAGGTGTCAACATATATTTAGTTAAAGCAAAAGCTTGATCTCCTAATATGACATAGGGTACTTTTGTTGTGTAGGGTATATTTAAAATTTCTGGTGCTGGTACATTAAGTTGATTATTTTCTAACTTTCGGTACAATTCACAATGTTTAAAAACGCCTCCATCTGATATTCGACCTTGACTTCCAACGTTAACGTACATAAAATTGTAATTTGAGTCTACTAATGCTAAAAGTACAATACTAAAATATTTTTTATAATTGTAATACTCGGTGCCGCTTCTAAAAGGAGCCTGAATAGTTATATGTTTTTCCGTCCAAAGCACCGATGACATGTGGGAAATTCCATTTTTCCTCGAATTCTTTAGAGACTATCTTCCAATCTTGTTCCGATACTGGTAACTGAAAAATATAAAGTTCACATTAAAAAATGCGAAATTTATCTTAACACGGGTGGGGGTGGGTAACCTCAAAGAATCGCGTGGAAATCTAACTACGACATTCTACGACAGATATAAATGAAAACAGTCGGACATCATACGAAAGCATTTTAGTCCTAGCTGAAACGGAGACACTTCTTAAATCCCAAAGACTATACCTATATTCTACAAACACAACTAAAAATCGTTGTTTTGATTACAGGATTGTGGCTCATCGTCGCAGTCACATAATACAGAACAAGGAGCTACAGAACAAGGCGCTACAGAACAAGGCGCTACAGAACAAAGCGCTACAGAACAAGGCACTTCAGAACAAGGCGCTACAGAACAAAGCGCTACAGAACAAGGCACTTCAGAACTAAATATGACTAACATGAATACTGCATCTACGATTCCAACTAAAAGGAAGCCACAAAGAGAACACACGAAGATCCGGAGTATGATGCCGAGAATAAAATGTTAGAAGATGCATTGGAAGAAATGCGAAAACAAAGCGATAACAGCAACGATTTATACGTTGCTTTTGGCATGCACGTAGCGGCAGAGTTGAGAAAATACGATCCCATAACCTTAGCAAGAGTAAAACATTCCATAAATACTATAATATTTGACGCTGATATGGCATGTATAAACCAACTCAATCAGTCTACAATTCAAGAAAACGATGAAAGAAGACCAGGTTATTTTACTACACGTTATACCGATATCTCCAATACGGCATCCTCTAGTGACTCTAGTATGGGATCCGGACTTACACAATTGATTAACGATTGAATACTGAGAATAGTTTATAATTAAATAGTGATTGTTTCATTTTTATTGTCTGCACATTAAACATGCACATATTTATGATTGATTAAAAACTTAATAAAAATAATGTAAGTAATAAAGTTGTTCTTTTTTACCTTTATCACATCCTTCAGAGCTTTCACTAGGGCATCGCACACCTCTGGGACTATTTTTGAGATTGTTTGCTTTGACACGTGAAATATATATTGTAGACTAGTATATGAGTCTCCTGTGGCCAAATATCGCAAAGTTATTGCGAGTCTCTCTTTCGTCGTTATTGCTACACGCCAGTGTGTATCAGTTTTTTTAATAAATGGTTCCACCAGTGTATGTATATGTTCAAATTCTTCCAAGGTCAATCTTAAAAACTGTGTTGTTCGATAGTGGATTTCATAATTAATCACTTTCAAATTCTTTACCCTCTGTTGGAAAAGTGGTCGTATCCAGCATTGCCTTGTTTTTTTCAGTCTCTTCCTTCTGCGTAATTTTCGAATAATAAGTAGAGCTACAACACACGCGGCCGCTTTCATTTTGGATCGAATGCAAACTGAGAGCACAGCGTGTCTAGGACATGCCGCGCAGTATTGCCGCGCACACATTTCTGGGATGTCTACACTAGTCGCGCATCAGAGCTGTGTCTCGCGATTGCCGCGTGTTGCTGCCGCGCACTCGCAGCGCTATGTTTGGACACGCCTTCAGAATACCCAAGCGTTGTTGGCATCGCAAAACAAGACACGACGAAAATGAGTTTCAAAATTTAGATGTTTTTCAAATAAAATTAATAAAAATGCCTGTTATAATATTTCAAAGAATTTTATGATAAATCGTGGATCTCAAATTAGAAGTAAGGGTTGAGCACTAAAATATGATTTATCGATGTTTATCTACCAAGAACACTACCTACCAATGTTTTTTTTAATATTTCAGTAATTTCGGGTAAGATTTTATGCTGTGAATTGTCACATTTAGTTCAAGGAACGTATTATTGGTAATTTCTGGATTTAACTATTATAGGTCACACTGTTACTTAGACAGAAAAACATAGCGCTCAGTAATCGTGATCAACATTGTGGGTCTCTTAAAGACGTTTATCAATAACAAATGTACCTACTTTACCTAAAAATAAAAATAATGAAATAAATCAAACGATTTTAATTCTTTTCCTATCCGTGAAAACCTAGTATTTGCATACTTTAGATCGACTTTTTGTATAAATACCTCGTAAGTAGCATTTTATACACTACGGACAATCTTATACTATCGAACTGTTGTGGATATAAAAGCGGGTTAAATTTCCATATTAATTAATAAAAAAACATAAAAAGCGCCTTACAAAAATTTTACAGGACGCAGTTTTTTCTTCCTCCTCAAAAGTTACTTGTTTAACACTTACGAGGTTTTCACTCTAAGGCATCGATATGTATGTTATTAACAGTTTAAATTGACAGTTCGGTTGCCGGTGCCAGTCGTTACGTGTAAAACAATTGAAATTTGTAAAAAAATAGGTTTATATACTAAAAGATACCTAGTTATGTTTGTGACATTTCTGTAATATTGATTAGCGAGAGTAAAAAGGATTCGTATTATAGTCTTCACTGAAGATGAACCGGATTACGATAACATGATGTGTTAGATCCCGACTTTGAACCATTGTTGGAAGAAAATCCAATGGTTTACGATGACGCTGCAACAAAAGGTATTGACTTAGATGCCAGTATTGACGACCTAAAAAATAATGAAACTGTTTCACAAGCCGCTGAACCAAATCATCAAGTAACTCCATCAGCCTCAAATTCAAGAACAAACAAAGCAAAAGAGAATTACAATGGAAACTAAAGAACTTTTCAGGAAAAGCACATTGCCATCGGATATACTGGATTTAGACCCACCTGTACAATTCTTTCTTTATTTATTCTCTCTTTAGAGAATCATTTCTTTAAATGATGCAAATGATTGCTGAACAGACTAATTTATACTTCTTCTTCTTCCTGCCCATTTCCCAATCACTTGGGGTCCACGTACATCTTCCGTACTGCTGGTACGATTTGGCAAAAGTTTTACGGCCGGCCGCCTGCCTGACATCAACCCTCCTTGGGGATGCTATTGTTTATCGCAGACGTCTTGTAATATGTATGTCGGAGACGGTCATCAATACGGTCGCTAAACGAAGCGCAGCACGACGCCTGAGTGATGGCAGCACCTTCGGTATTATCGCCAACACTCAGCGAGCTTCGTGCTACGACGGAGCCTAGCTAAGGGAGGGGTGCTAAGAGGGCTGGACACTTGCCTTCGAGCCGAGCCAAGCTTAGGACCGCTCCACTAGGAACTGTCTTGCGTTCCGTATTGTCTATACGTGGTAATAGTGAAGTGGTATATGGTTGTGTAGTGAAGTGCTGTTTAACTATGTACAAAGTGATTATTGTTAATTTGAAATACAACTGTGATTGCATCGACTTTCATTTGAACCAACACTTCCCATATAACGCCCACTGTATAATTCATGATAAAATAATGGAAAATAATAGAGAAAATTAATGCTGCTTCGATATCAGAAGCGGGATCAGTGTTGGTTCAATTGCAAAAAAAACTAACTCTGAGTGAACAATGACGTGCAATGTTTGAACAACAAAATGTCATGTGATCTCTTATCGAGGCCTTGCAAATGCCTCAGATGAAGAAGAACGTCAAGTTACGCGAGTTTGACCCTGACAATATGAATACGGACGCAAGATCTTGATTTGCGACTGTAGTTTTGTGTTTTGCCGAATACCCTCCATACGGCGGCTAGCTTATTTTAACAGTCAGTAAGGAATTAAAAGGATAAGGGTCGACGTGGCTATCACAATTTGTATACCAGAGAATAACATAGGAAGAGTTGAAGGTGATTTTCAAGGCGAGATTTATTTCCACCGAGACATTGGCTGGTACGCTAATTAATTTTAACAGTGACAAACCAAATGAAAAAAGAAACTCGTTACGTACGCAAATCGCCTGATGACGTCACTGACTAATCGTTGGAAAGACGCTAGCAAGAATCAGATAGCAATTGCGACTGTCCTTGCTCACTTATGTCAGTTTAATTCGAAATTACAACGATTGGCCTTTACTACGAAAATTGCTTCGCGAGATCGACTGCAGCAGGGATTGCACGCATTCTCACATTTGAAACGCAAAAAAAGTGAGTCTTAAGCGGTCAGAGTGTAGAAGCAAGGTAAATGACAGTGTGGAACGACCTTCGATGACAGCAACGGCATTGCAGCCTGCAGTGAAGTCTCTGGTGTGCTTCAAATGTGGCAAGCCTGGTCACATCACGCTCCGGTGCATAAATAGTGCCAGTCAAGTGGAAGGCAGCAATATGGGTGTAACACGAACGGAACGACGCGTGGATGTATGTGTTGTACAACCATCTTCGAATGCTCAATGGCATAATCATCATCATCTTCCTGCCCTTGTCCCGTTTTATTTTGGGTCGGCGCAACACGTTTTTTTCTTCCATTCCGTCCTGTCACTCGTCGCGCTATCACTAACTCCCTTTTCTTTCATATCACTTTTCACACAATCCATCCATCTTTTCTTTGGCTTCCCTCTCCCTCTCCATCTATCCATATGTATACTCATAACTCTTTTAGCAACATGCGTTTCATCCCTCCTCTTTCAAACAAACGATTCCCTTTTAACTTTTCAGTTACTGGCGCCACTTTCAGACTTCCCCTTATGTACTCATTTTTCACTTTCGTCACACCACACATCCATCTTAACATTCTCATCTCCGCTACATGCAATCTTTTTTCATCCGTTTTTTTCTTTTTCTTCGTTTAATTACTTTCAGTAAACTTAAAATTGCATCGATTTTTTAAACTATTGCTTCAGGTATGTTTAATATATGATGTCATTTTATATCAATTGAAATGAAAAAATAAACAATATTTTGGTTACGTGCAAATTAACATTATACGCGCGTGGACTTAATAAAAACTTTAATTTTTTATGAGAAACTGATTTTCGTTAATATTTTGAATTAAAATATGATAATTTACATTTTGTATGTTATTGACAACCCTTGGTTTACTTCAGATTTTTTAGAATCAAATATGGCAATCTGACATTTAGTTGGGATCAAATATGGATATCTGCAATAGGCTTAACATCAAATGCGGCCATCTTCAATGTTTAGAGTCAAAACCGGCAATCTGAAAAAAAGATTCGTCACCTACTTTTTTGATATTGACTTCACATCGTTTTTTGTGTATTTACTAATAGCACCAATAATTAAAGATACCTAAACAAATAATAATTATTTATTAAATATGAAATAATTAAGTACAAACGTTTTTCTTTTATTGCCACTATTTAGTCAAAATGCTGATATCCGCTTTTGATTCTATAGGACTCATATATTTACATTTACAACAAAGAAGGGATGTAGTGTATACATATCTATTAAAATATTAATTATTTATTGTTCATTAATATATGTATGTGAGTATATGTAATAGTATAATATCATCTGTCGTCTCGGGTGAGGCGCTCAGCTGGCCGCGGGGTGGTGGGTCATTGGACAGCCAACCGGCGCGGAGTGAAGACTGAGTGCGTACACGGCGAGCCGATATATATCTATTTGAATATTCCTATCTATATAATTACTAATAATAAGTATTATTTAGTGAATCATTAAGTGCACATTACAGTACTTGCTGGAAAAACTGAGTTAGATGCTTCGTCAAAATTGTAGTTATAAGAATGGCTCGTGACATACCAAAGAATCAAAATTTTAAGCTGTATTTTGATAATTATTTGAAGTCTCTGCTATTACTGCAGCATTTGGCCAAGGAAGGAATCTTGAATCTTCGGACGGTACGCCGTAATAGAATCGCCAACTGCAAATTATCTACTGATAGAGGTTTTAAAAAAAGAGCGAGGGTATTCCATAGGATTTGTGGCTGACATTGACGGTATTGACATCTCAAATGTTATATGGAAAGATAACAAAGTCGTCGGTATGGTATCAAATTTCATAGGTGAAGAGCTCCAGTCTCAGGTTCGACGCTATGATAAAACTAATAAAAGGTACATCAACATAAATCGGCCCAAGATAGTTGATGAATATAGTCGTTACATGGATGGTGTCGATTTAGTTGACAGCATCATAGGATACTATTAAATCCTGATTGTAAGAGGTGGCAAGTACGGATATTCTACCATTTACTACCGACGAGTAAAATTTGGCAAAACCTTGAAATAAATATGTCTTCGCCAGATTTCCAACTCGGTGTAGCGGAGACTTTGTGCAAACTTGATCAGACAGCAATCAAGAACCGCAAATCGACAGAAAGTGACATCCAGGCAAAAAATTACCATAAGGCCATAAGGATCCAAATTATTGAATCACTGACAGCCGAAACTTGTGTTCATACTTCAAAAAGGGGCTTTATGAGTTCCATATCTCACTAGATACCGATATTGTGGCAATAGTGACTGATGGTCCAACTATCATGCTAAAGGTTAGAAAACTCGTTATTGCAGAACACCAAGTTTGTTTTGCACACGGTATTCATTTAGCCATTTGTGATTTATTGTATAAAAAATACCTGCAAATCGTCCCTTAGCTTACAACACCGCTCAAGTCGAAAATTGGCGGTTTTCACATTTTAATGCCTCTAGATGGAGCTGCTCATTGCGCGTCTAACCATTGGTCACATGATATAGATTTCAGCCAATCAGAAGCCGTAATTCGAAAAGTAGTGACAGCGCGCAAGTCGGTTGGCCTCTCAATACCGCACAAGTCGTTAGTCTCTCATACTTTTCTTGTAAAAGTACTTCGCGCTCCGTAATTATTATATTTTTACGTGAGTTTTATCGCTGAAAGGTAAAGGTAAAGAGGTAAGCTATATAAGAAAGTAATGTTTATTGATTTACGCGTATTAATATAGAAAGAAATGATAATAGAATATCTTCATTTACTTAAGCGGTGTTTACTATCTTTTTTAACTTAGGCGGTGTTTCAAAATATATTTTATTTCTTTTAGGAAGCTCAATAATTATTGAAATACACTATGGATGGAGATGAAATTGATTCCTGGAGTGATCCGAGTTCAGGTGATGAATTGTTATGTGCTCAATTACAAGAAGCAGGACTGATGTCAAAATATAAACGGCGTAAACAAAGTTGCAAAGAAGATAAAAAAAGAATTAAACTAAGTTAGTAGCATAGGTTTGTTTTGAAGTCCGAATTTACTTTTTTTGTTATTTATATTTTAATGCATTCCATCCTTTTATTATTTTTTTAGATTTAAATCAAAAAGATAACACTAGTTCTTCTGATACCAAAGCATGCAATTCTCCTAATAAATACGAAATTATTGCAACACCAATAAACAAACAAAACTTTGGAGAGTCCATGAAAAGTATTTTAAGTAGCCAGGACAATGTAAAAACAACATTTAATCAAAACATAGACTTGGATGTTGAAAACATTGACATTAACAATCTACAAGTTATAGAAAAAGTTGGTAATGACTTCTTTGATCTGCAACAGGTACCAACCGAGTTCGCTGCGGTGGCGATCGAGTATCCTTCTGTATTGAATGATGTCAAAATCGCGGTAGAAAGTGAGAACGTTGTGCAAGAACTAGGAAATATTGTCCTTGATATAAATGCTATAAATTTAAATCATGATGAATCTTTCCCTACTTCAAACCAAGATATTCTCGTATCTACGAATACTCAAGCCCAATTTCTGATATAGTCATTGATAATGAAAACAATACTAAATGTACAGATAAAAATAATATAACCCAGAACAATATGCAGCAGTCCAGTGCTTCTGCTACTCCATCGTGTTCTTCAAAAGTGGTCATACTCAGTAATGTTCCATATCACGGTGATTTGTTAAGTCATAAAAAACGACAGAACAAGGCGACAAAAGATTCAAAGAAATATAAACGCAATGTTAATAAAGAATTACGGATGAGAGGTGAGAATTATTTAGGATACAGAAGAGACAGAAAAGCAAAGACTAATGAAACATTTAAAGTGAAACAAGACGTATTTAAGCCTGCAAGATCCATGAAACCACCGTGCGCTTCTGCGTTTTGCAAGAAATCCAAACTCAGATCATGTGACAACATAAACGAACAACAGCGGCAATATTTGTTTGAAAATTTCTGGAAGAACATGAACTGGGAGCAGAGAAGATCTTTAATAACTTCTCACGTTAATAAAGTACCCAAGAAAATTACAAAAAATCCAGAATTATCCAAAAGAACTGATAGTCGAACTTACGTTTTGACGATTGATAATGTACGTCACCAAGTCTGTAAAAGAATGTTCTAAGCTACTCTTGGTATTAAAGATTGGTTTGTCAGATATTGGCTGACAAAAACAGACTGTGCCATGCCTCCCGATTTGTTTACTTCAACCAGTAATCGTAGAAATCCAGAGAAAATTGAAGACCACAAGTATGTTGAAAAGTTTTTAGCAGGTCTTCCAAAGATGCCGTCGCATTACTGTCGTGCTAAAACATCCCGAGAATATTTAGAACCAATTTTCACGAACATGACACAGCTCTATCACACCTATAAACAGAATTGTGAATTAGAGGGTAGAGAATGCCTAGGCCGTAAATTATTTGACAAATTATTTTGAAACTCAATCTGAGCCTATTCCACCCGAAGAAAGATCAATGTGACGTTTGTTGCAGTCATAAAACTGGAAACATTACGGATGAAGAATACGCTCAACATGTTTTGAAGAAAGATCGAGCTAGGAAAGAAAAGGATATTGACAAAGATATTGCACAGTCCGGAACTTGTCACGTATTCACACAGGATGTTGAATCGGTGAAATTGGCCCCGTACCTTCAAGCAAGTGCAATTTATTATAAAACTAAATTATGCGTCCATAATTTTACATTATACAATTTAGCAACTAAGGATGTAATGTGTTATTGGTTCGATGAGTCAAATAGTACGCTTGAAGCCTCTGTTTTTGCTTCATGCTTAGTAGACCATCTAAAGAAAGTTTTGAGTCAGAAATTATTGCCTGTAATTTTATATTCCGATGGCTGTTGTGCTCAAAATCGCAATGTTACCTTGAGCAATGCTTTATTACGTTTAGCGATTGAAAAAAATATTGTGATTACTCAAAAGTACCTGGAAAAAGGCCATACCCACATGGAATGCGATTCTGTACACAGTGCAATAGAGTGTAAATTAAAAGGTAAAGAAATTTACCTTCCACAACAATACATGACTATAACTAAAACTGCTAGGAGTGATCCAATGCCTTACGAGGCTCGTTATTTGGACTATACCTTTTTTACGGACTTTTCGAAAGAATTCATTTATAAATCTATACGGCCTGGTAAAAAAGCAGGTGACCCAGTCGTCACAGATGTACGTATGCTAGAATATAGACCAAATGGCACAATTTGGTATAAAATTGGTTTTGATGATGAGTTTCAGCCGTTACCACATCGTCCCACGCCTATTAACAGCATAAAACAAATAAATCACCTGCAAAAATTGTATGCAGCTAGAATACCAATTACAAAGAGGAAGTATGAAGATTTGCAAGACCTAAAAAGTGTATTACCATCTAGTTGCCACTCTTTTTATGATGACCTTCCGCACAGCAATCGCTAAAGACTGCAACTAACTATTAGACTAGAAATTTCGAGTATTATTTTTATAATTTTATTACTATTATGTCGTTTTAGTTTATTAAAGACTATGTTTTAAATATTTACCTATTAAAATAAAAAAAATAATTGCACTGAGTGCAAGTCTTACGCTCTAATGTTCGTGTGTCACCGAATGACTTTAAGCAATTGATCTCAACAATGTGATTCTTAAGATTTAAGTAATAGATACCTATGTTATAACGATTGTTAATTATTATTCTTGAAATACTTCTTATTAAAAACTTTTCTTTGTAAATCATCTATCAATTCTATTAATACCTTATTTCTTACACTTCCGCAAACAACACCGCCTTTATCTAATAAAATATCAGTCAACACAGCTCAAGTCATAAAATAAAGGTTAAAATAAAGTAAATCATCAAAATAAGTATAATAATTATTTCTTAACCGCTGACTAGGATATTTATTAAGTAAAAACAGAAAAAATCCACTGAATTTTTTAAATAGGCAGTTTTTTTCGTCTCCTGTAAACTTGGTAAAAATGACTTATGCGGTGTTGTTAGCTAAGGGACGAAATGAACCTACCAGTGATGATATTGATGACTCGGATGACGATAATGAAGAACTAGACTCAGGATTAGTCATTGAAACTGAAAATGGTCAGGATTTGACTAATGATCGGAATATTAATAAAGTAGTAACATAAGTTTGTAAAGTGGTTCTTATTTTAATTTAGTTTCTTATTTAATTAAGTTTAATTTCACAATTAAAGCTTAAACGAGACAGTAAAAGTTCTTAGAAACTTGGGCCTGACATGTTGAAGAGTTCTTCATTTCCATGAAAGATTTTTTAGTCCTGTAAAAGAAATATTAGCACTATACATATTATTGAAGACAAAATAATCACAACTTTTTTAATTTATCTATTTCTCATATATTTGGTATTAGAATTTTGTTTTTGTTTAATGTAGGCCTAGTGATCGACTTCATGACTGATACCTAGCAGAACTTACATGCCTAGATTTTATTAGTCTTATGCCAATACTATTAAAATAATCTTAAGTAGATTTTGCTAGTTCTTATAATAGTTTTCTGTGCAATTGATGATATACTTCTATTTCTTATTTTCCTTGTAAATTTTTTCAAAGTAGTTTAAAAAAGCTTTATGAAACAAAAAAATTGTTGTAATAAAAACTTGGAATGAAATGAAAAAGGATTATTATTAGTATATAACTGTGATTTGATATATTTTCTTTTTTTACCTACTTTCTTTAAATGTAATTACTTTATTTAAATAACAAAACTATATCTATAAAATAGGTAAGTAAATGCTTATAGAAGTATACTTATCAAAAATATCATTCTAAAATGAAATGACTTTTTTTTAACAAGATTTCTATAATTCATTCTTTTTCATGTCATTTTATTTAAACATATAAATAAAAATATCTAATTAATTTTTATAAATATGTTCTTTTATTTAGTTGACAACAGCTCTTTTTAAAGTTCTACTGCTGGGCACGGTTGTCCCTTCAATATGAGGATGATCAGGCCATAGTCCAACAATGATGGCAAAATGCATGTTGGCAGACTTCACATGTCTTTCGAAAACCTGCTAGGTTCACTTAGACATGCAGGTTTCCTTACTGTTTTCCTTCGCCTTAAGACATTAGTAAATGTAATCATTTTGAAAATGATTTGCACATGAGAATATCAGTGGTTATAGTCACATTAACACTACTAGAGTTAACAATAAACTATAAAACTAAAAAAAATGGTTTATGACTGGTTCATGTAACGTATAGGCCGTCTCCATATCCTAAAACCAGAAAGTACAAAACTCGCACTTCTTTAACGTGAAAAAAACCAAATAAAAACATACCTACTTACGTAATATTATACCTTCTGTTTTGTTATTATATATTTAATACTGAAAGAAACATACCTTAAAAGTGGTACCTATTAAGTTACTTATTACACTATCCGTAGCCGTATCCGTAGCGCATGTATGCTGTAATACTGTAGTGTAGAATACAAATTAGACAAAGAATTATGTGTTCCATATTTAAATTAATTCACTTCTTTGTATATGAGTACCTATTCACGTACGTGTAATATTATAAATAAATTTAAACATTGACCAAAACAAAATTAACAAAAATCAACAATGATGATCATGGATCATGACAAATAAAAATGATGATTCATGATTCAATTTCTAAAACATTAACATTTTGACGTTTGAAGATTGAGGTCAGTGTTGCCAACACCCTTTAAAGAAAACGCGCTAAATTGACTACAAAAAAGGGCTAGATTTGGACATTTTTCGAAAAAAAGCGCTAAATTATAAAAACAATAAAAAAAATTGCTAATTATAATTATTTTTAATTAAAAGTTACATAAGAAGACAAAAATTATCTACAAAATTATTTAATAGGTAAGATTCTTCATCGTCAGAAACTTGTTCTTGTACAATTTGGTGGTATCTACATAGTTTTGATCATGACTTACATTTTGTATTTTTTAATATGTAAAGTAATAAGAAATTAACATAGTAAATCTAACCTTAACATTATGTACAAAACCTTTTGAAAAAAATTTGAATGCATAAAATTATGTTAGCGGTCTCTGTATGTTCTTTGACTGTGTTTTTGGGCAGCAAATAAGGTTAGTAATCGTTTCTAATCTTTAAAAAAACGTAGTTTTTTTAAGCTATTGCATAGCTTCTATCGCGGGCCTTGAGCGTGGGGACCGAATCCAGAAATTCCGTAACGAAAAAAACCTGACACCTCCCACTCCGACCGGCACAGCGGTGATACTTCCATCTATCGATAAATACCAGAACTTTTAATGACTTTTTGAAATATCACGCTTGTCTCTTTAGTTCAGCAATCCGCCTTTAGGTGGCATTGGTTGTATTGGAAAACTACCGTAATCAGCTGTTTGTGAGAAAGTATATAGGTGTATAGGTATAATCTATGTACAACAGTGAATATCTGTACTCGTATAATTTGTGTACAAAGTGTTTTAAATATGAATAAACAAAGTGCATTTATTAATGAAGAAAGTCAAGGAAAAAAATACTGCATTAATAAAATAAATAAATAATTATAATTGCATAAGTTGATAAAAAATGCTATGCAATAGACCTACCCTACCCCAGCCTGCAAATTTATGATATTTGCAATGAAAAAAATACTAATCGATAGATTTTCAATAGCTCAATTTAACTACGTAGCCCTTTCAAATTGCTCACCTTTAATTATTTAATTAAAAATCAATAAAGTCTTTGAAAAAAAATTAATTTATCTGTATATTCAAACTCCTATATCTTTTGATGTATACAATATTTCAAATTGCTGAAAGTTCTAAAACACTGCTCAAGTTGCATTTGTAATTGCTCAAGTAGAGTTTTTACCAGCTCCACTTTCGCTGATTATTAAATAATTAAATGTTCTTTATGTTATAATATCTGAAGTGGAATCACGTAATGTGAACAATTCATAAATTCAATAAATTTAAAGAAATCCACCGAGAAACAGAATTAAGACGTTGAATTGGAACGATTGTCCAAGCCCGCCGAGGCCGACCGACAATGCGCGGTGCGCATGCGCACGCTCACTTAACCTACGTTATATTTATTACAACTATACTTTTAATTATTTAATAATCAGCGAAAGTGGAGCTGGTAAAAACTCTACTTGAGCAATTACAAATGCAACTTGAGCAGTGTTTTAGAACTTTGAGCAATTTGAAATATTGTATACATCAAAAGATATAGGAGTTTGAATATACAGATAAATTAATTTTTTTTCAAAGACTTTATTGATTTTTAATTAAATAATTAAAGGTGAGCAATTTGAAAGGGCTACGTAGTTAAATTGAGCTATTGAAAATCTATCGATTAGTATTTTTTTCATTGCAAATATCATAAATTTGCAGGCTGGGGTAGGGTAGGTATGCAATAGCTTTACCGCGGCAGTCTCCGAGTGCCACACGTCTTTTTTAATTTATGTGGCTCTGGATGCTTGTTGTTTTATTTTGAACAATTACGTTCCGTTACATGTTATTTCAAAGAAGAGAAATATTATCTAAAAAGCGCTAGATTGGGCGCTAAGCGCTATATTTTTTTGTAGGGCGCTGACAGAGTCAAAAAAGCGTTAGATCTAGCGCCAAAAGCGCTAAGTTGGCACCACTGTTAGAGGTTTGCCCTTTAACAGACTAGAACTTCCCTGTTTTCCTATTAGAGTACTAAAGCGCATTATGCGGTATAATGCTAACTTCGGATGTTCCAACTACCGCAACGCTTCTCTCAATCGAGGATTTTGAAAAGTACTGCTTTGACCTCTTGGCGTGATGCCTGCAAGGATACCAACTCAATAACAGAAAATATAAGAAGTGTTTTTTCTTCAAGGTGGCATTGATCATAATTGTATATATTATATTATCGTTAGTTATTACTAACTGATCATTTTGTTTCTGTTTTATTTATATTATTATATATTAATTAGTTGTATATTATTATATACCTGTACTAATATTTAAAAGAGGTAAAGTTTGTGAGTTTGTGACATTGTAGGGGTTAATTTCCAGAGACTACATCCAGATGTACTGAACCGATTCAGATGAAATTTGGTAAGAAGATAATTTGAGACCCTATGAAGGACATAGGATAGTTTTTATCCCGGAAATCATCCCTTAAGGGGGTGAAAATGGGGATGAAAGTTTGTATTGGGAAGCAAGCTAGGGACGAACCCGAACGAAGAGAGGGTGAGCCACTAGTTTATATATAAGACTAGCAACTCACCTTCGTTCCGCTCGGGTTCGTCCCTAGTTACGTTTTAACGTTTAGTCTAATATAGTGTTTTATGATCTGTGGTATAGGTATAGATAGCGTTTTCGCTCAAACTGAATGTAACATTTTTAAATTGTTAAACATGTTAGGTAATTATGAACATGCTACTATAAGTTTTCATTTTCATGAAAATTTTTGTATGAAGGACAACTCGGTTGAGCCATTTATTGTTTCCCATGGGAAAGAGAAATTTTCCTGTTCGATCAGTTAAATCAGTACACAAAATTTAGTTAATATATATTTTTCATGTTTATTATATTTCTTTCGACTACGTCTTATTTCTCTTACATTTTTTTTATACCAATCACAATGTATATTCTTCATTAATTCTTTTTATACGTATTTTCTAAAATAGTAGGAACTTATTCTTAAAATGTAGCAGAACTTATTTAAATTAGTTTAAGAGTTTTATTTAAATAAAATAATTTTTTAACAATCCGTTCAGTATTTTTTGTGGGAAAATAAAAACTAGTAAAAACGTATACGCCCTATTTAAAAACTCCAATAGGATCCCATCATAAGCGACAAAAGCCACGTAGAGGCTATAGCCACGCATATAGCCACACATAGGCTTTTATCGCTTTTGATGGGATTCTATTGGTGTTTTGCAACAGGGCGACCGGACAAAAATTTCAATTATTTCTATAATCTGTAGATACTAGGGCTTTCATCCCGAAAGTTTCGGTCTCGAAAATTTCGAGAGCCTCGACGATTTTTTTTCGAGTTTTCGAGACTCGAGAACTCTAACGCCAGTCCCGGAAATAACGAGACTTTCGAGACATAAGTCAAATAATTAAGATTATTCGAAAATGTACTAAATCACCAGTATTTTTTTTATTCCATTTACGTGGTAGCATTGTGACGTGAAACTTAGGTTATCCTAGGTCTTATGACCACAGAGGAAATAACTAAACCATGGTTATATTACTATTTAATTTATCCCCTATCTAATACTAGCGTAGAAGCAAAGAGGCTTTTTCTAACCCGGGTTAATGTTGTAATAAAATCTCTCTGTCTGAAAGTATGTACATTAAATACTCTTTGTTTTTACGTGCCCATTGTAAAAATGAAAAAAAAATCTCATAAATATTAGGTTCTTAGTATGAAATTGGCGTTTTGTCCAACTTTACTCTCAAACTACTTTGATCTCAAATATCTGGCGTTTGGTTAGGAATTCCAAATTCATTATATCAAATTTAGGCTTGTGTAAATTTTTCGGATTTACTTAGGTTAGGTTAGGTTGGAATGTCGGCTCAGCGCGCGGAACAAGCTCCGCGCGCACGGCGCCCCGGTCACGGAGACCACGCCGCCCGATGTTCTCCTTCGGCTTGTGGGAGGACTGTTTCCGGAGTCGTCGGGTCACAACCCCCCAGTGATGGCTCCTCCCTCATTCCACGAGGGAGTTGAGGAAATCCCCCCGATCACTGCGGGGGAATTTAGCCTGGCCCTCGACAAACTACGGGCCAGGCGGAGGGCTCCGGGACCGGACGGTATTCCGGGGCGGATTCTAACCATCGCCCTGGAATACCTGGGAGAGGACCTTCGGGCTCTGTTCAACGCATGTCTTCGTGTTGGGCAGTTCCCGAAGGTCTGGAAGGAGATTGTGCCTACTGCCCAAGGAGGGTCGTCCTCTGGACTCTCCTTCGGCGTACAGGCCAATCGTGATGCTGAGTGAAACGGGCAAACTCTTCGAGAGAATTCTCGCTGCCCGTATCACTCGGCATCTGGAGGAGGTGGGGCCGGGCCTTTCAGAGGCTCAGTTCGGGTTCAGGGCGGGAAGATCAACGGTGGACGCCCTGAACGCCCTGAAGGTCCGGTCCTTGGCCGCAGTGGAGGAGGGAGACGTGCTCTTAGCCGTCTCGGTGGATGTGGCCAACGCCTTCAACACCCTGCCGTTTGAGACTCTACGAGAGGCACTACGCTATCATCAGGTGCCTCTCTATCTCCGGCGGGTGTTGGACGCGTACCTCCATGACAGGCAGGTCATGTGGATGGGGGCAAATGGGGTGGTCGGTCGGCGACGTGTCGACTGCGGGGTTCCACAAAGGGCCGTTTTGGGCCCGGTACTGTGGAACCTCGGCTACGATTGGCTCCTGCGGTGTCCGCTCCTTCCCGGGCTGGGTGTCATCGCCTACGCTGATGACACCCTGGTGACGGCCCGGGGTCGTTCATATGAGGAAGCGGCACGCTTGGCCACAGTCGGCACAAATCTGGTCGTCGACCGGATTGGGATGCTGGGCCTGAGGGTCTCCATAACCAAAACGGAGGCCCTCCTTTTCCATGGCCCACGCAAGGGTGCCCCTAGAAATGCCTGCCTGCGCGTCCAGGGGAGGATGGTGGAGGTAAAGGCCCAAATGAAATATTTGGGCCTGACCCTGGACGCTCGCTGGACGTTCCGTGTCCACTTCGCCCAGCTCACCCCGAAATTGATGAGCGCCGCCTCGGCCCTCGGCAGACTTCTGCCGAACGTCGGGGGCCCTGGATCTCCTTGCCGGCGGCTTTATGCCGGCATCGTGAGGTCCATGGCACTGTACGGTGCTCCTGTTTGGATTGACGCCCTCGCTGCTGAGAACAGGGCCCAATTGCGCAGGGCGCAGCGGGTCCTGGCGGTGAGGGCGATACGAGGGTACCGTACGGTGTCCTATGAGGCGGCGACGCTTCTGGCGAGCGATCCGCCCTGGGAACTCCAGGCGGAGGTGCTCGCCGAAGTGTACCAATTTCGGGTGAGTGAGCGTGGGCGCGGGGAACGTCCAGCGTGGGAGGGAGTCGCTCGGATCAGGCGCCTAGCTGACGAGGCCCTGATCCGGCGCTGGAGGGAAGATCTGGGGACTCCGGCGGCTGGCCTGGCGACGGTGGGTGCGGTTCGTCCGTACCTGTCTCGCTGGGTCAGGAGGCCACACGGCGTCCTGACGTTCAGGCTGACACAGATGCTTACCGGGCACGGGTGCTTTGGTAAGTATCTGTGTCAGATTGCACGTCGGGAACCGTCGCCCGTATGCCACGAGTGTGGTGCGTCCGAGGACACCTCGCACCACACCCTCGCGGTATGCGCCGCATGGACTCCCCAGCGCCATGCCCTGATGGCGGTAGTGGGTGGAGACCTTTCGTTGCGAAGCGTGGTGGGGGCCATGCTACGCGACGCGAGGTCCTGGTCGGCGATGGTCTCCTTCAGTTAGACCGTCATCTCACTGAAGGAGACGGCGGAGAGGGAACGCGAGGCTAACGCCTTAGCAGACCCTCTTCGTCGCCGTCGGCTGGGGGGGAGGAGGCGCCGGTATGCGCATCTTCTCCCGCCACCCTAGAGGAGCTACTGCGGGGGGGTCTCTCGTTGACTCTCCTGCACGTCATCGGGGCGGTCGGGATGCCCTGCGAACCGAGGGCATCCTGATTTAGGCGAGGCTGGCCCGCGTGGTACGGGCCGTCCGCAGGGGTGTTGCAGTGAATGCGAAAGCGATCCTGCACGCCCCATTGCACTGCGGCGAAGGGTTCCGCTGTGGGTTTTAGTGAGTAGGAGTCTCACAGTACCCTGCCCATGACGGCGGCAGGGTCCCCATGATGGGTTTCCCCAGCGAAAACAAAAAAAAAAAAAAAAAAAAGGTTGGAATGTCGGCGATAACCGCCATACTCCCCGGACCTTGGTCCAACAGATTATCACTTTTTCCGGTATGTAGACAATTTCTTACAGGGCAAAAAAATCAATTCCGATGAGGCAATCAAAGCCACCTTCGAGATTTTATTGATAATCGCTCCCACAATTTTGTCAGCAGACGAATCAACGAACTACCTATAAAATAGCAGAAATGCATAAATGACAACTGTACGTACATACTGTGTCACTGATTAAATATATAATTTAAATTTTTTATTTCGTTTTCTTTTTCCATAAAAAACGCCAATTTCATACGTAAGGGCCTAATAATTGTTAATTTTACTTGTATTGAGTTTGTTAGAATATGGTTAATAAAGTACTTGAAATACCTTTTATCGACTGCCTAACTGCCCAGTCTATGAGTTTGAAGCCATTTTTGGAGTAGTCTCGAAAGTCTCGTTTTTCCCGGGAATTTCAAAACCACACCGAGTCTCGATTTTTTTTCCTGGGACTCGTAAATATAACGAGACTGAAAGCCTTAGTAGATACACAATACGAAGCTGTCATTATTTAAAAAAAAACCATGTACAAATTTATTACTCTTTTATTATATGTATAGCTATCCCTTCTGTTTGAGATCGCGTTTGATCTATTTTTCGTTAATTTTTACGTATTTCAAGCGCAACATGGAAGATTCGATCGAATCAAATACAATTTTTATATAAAAAAAAACACATTTTCGTATGATTATTTTTAAAAGAAAACCTTGTCTTAAATGTTATAGGTACAGAGTTACACACCCATTGTAACACAGCTCTACACATTACATATATAGCTCGCACTTATGAAAATTTTTAAAGAACAATTTATTTACTAGGTTTGCAGATTCTGGCACTTTACTATACAATTACACCTTACCTGTATGTAATTTGTTTAATTAATTCATTATTGTTAGCTACTCATAGTTGATATCTGAAACTAAAAATAAATTTTATGTTGAACATTTAAGATATTCTTAGAGTTCATCTTTGACTAATTTTAGTAATTCATCTTCTTCATCAGTCCATAAATCTGGATCCGAAGTCATTTGACCTAACGCTTCCATCCGCCTCTCCATAGTCACTTTATCCAAAATATGCTCCATCTTCATATGCATACAATCATTAAAAACAGATGCAAATTCACAAATTTCGAAAATACCTTCTACAATATCATTACATTCTGATATAGCAGTTTTTAGTCTCGACAATACTTCACTATCTTCACCATATACAGCTTTATTCGCTTCCAATAGATTTTCTTTTAGGATTTTATTATTTTTTATTATTGAATTTCTTTTCAAAATACAAGCGACGAAGCATTTACCTTGTAACGTGGATTGTGGTATCCTTTTCAAAAAGTTTTCCACGTCGACCATCGACGCTTTCACTTGTCGGGCACATTCTGTTAGGTTTCTTCTGAAAGGTTCTACTTCGTCGTTCATTTTGTTAAATTTTTCAATTTGTTCCTCTTTCGTGAGTGGTGTGAATGCTATAATAAGTATCAATAATGCAAAAAATATAAGCAATATTAAAATGAAGGTGAATTTTAAACGAAACATAGTGTATTGTTTCTCGTGCTTTTTGCCTTGGTTTCTCATTTTTTATACGGTGTTTGCTTCGATAAACTTAATAGGTCGTTACTTGATATATTTGCTTGTTAGCTAAATTGTTAGTTATATTGTACAGTTGTTACGTGCATTTTTAAGCTAAATAAATGCCTTTTAAAATAAAAATGACTTTTTTTTCTTATCTTCTTATATATTTTCTTTCCTTAAGCCCCTACATGATTAGTGATGAAATTGGATAAGCAAATTCGATTCTATTACTGTAGAAATGTTGGTTTTCAAATTTACTTTTAGAAACAAATATTAGTATTACCACAGACCACATAATACTAAATAGTACGATGCCTCATCCCATATACAGAAATTGGTCAGCGCTATTTCGGCCTATTCTGCGGGATATTTTTGTTTGCTTGAATAGGTAATAGATCAACATATTTCAACATCAGCAGAAAGACAAGTAATTACAGTTTAAAAGTCATTAATTTAATTTTTCTAATTTTGATATTTAATTTCATAGATAAATACATAGTATTTTTTATGTTTAATTTACCTAAATAATACCAAAAATAGGTAAATACATGCATCAAGTCCTTATGGTTAATACATTATTCACAAGTAATGTTGATTAAATAGGTCATAGTTACATCGAGAAAAGTCTTTGCTGCGGTACATACCTACACATTTGCATCGAGTAAGCATCCAGTGAATTTTCTATATAGTAAAGGAACTCAAGTTACCACGTCGGTGCGTTTTAGATACCCACTCCACATTCCTAGCATATAAAAGGTTTTCTTAATATTTTTGATAAATATTTTTAAAATAAAATATTTAAATATGTTTATTTTGGTTAATAAATTTCATCCCGAGCGGCAACGAACCCATGGCCTGCGAGAAATAGAACATTCAGTCACTACGCAAAAAAAATGTCTTTTATTTTAATGTCTATTTCTTTAATCGGCTTTGGAATAATGCAATTTTAAAGAAATGTCTGGCCACTAAACATGGCTTCCAGCATGCAATGTCGGGATTAAAATTAAATAGATACATATGTATGTATAATGTTACACTAAGATCCATTACAAAGAAAAGACGACGTGCGGTTACTGTCATTCAGGTATGATATTGCACAGAATAATGTGTAAATATTATTTTTATATAAATAAAACTAAAATTTTCGTTGCAGAGTTTTTTACACCTTTTTAACACACACATATGACTATCAATTTTATGTTGATAGAGTAGGTAAACTTAATTTTAGCTAATTAATAGTTATATTTGATAACATAACATGAATTATAATATTATAATTTATTTATGTTTCATTTCGGTTCATTAATTTACATTAAAAAAAACTAATTCTAAACATTATAAATGTCTAATGTAGAAGTCATCGGGTTGTCTTCCCGTAAATACGGTTCTGGTCGATAGCACAAAAAACCCCCATAACTTGCTCTATATGCAATTATGATTTGGTGACGCTGCAGTTAGGTTGACGTACAAAAATATTAATTTAACAAGGAGAATGAATGAATTTTTCTTCTGTTGAATTTATCACATCACCATTTCATTGTAAAATGCCTGTACATTTAAAACAGATATTATTAGTACATACGAAAGAGATATTATTAAAAATGCCATTGGGATGCAATGCATTAGGACTAAATGCAAACCAGAAACCAAAATGAGAAAACCAGAAAACCAAAACCGGTTCATCACGGGTTTCATATTTAATGAATCACGATAATTATTAACACTCGCCTTAGGTTCAATTCACACTAACGTGGCAACGGTCGGCGGCACAGCGGTCTGCCGTTACACTCTCAAACAATCTCCATTACGAAATGCATAGATAGATAAATCACTTTAAGGAAAATATCAAGATGTAATCTGCATATCAGTAAATCTAACAAATTTTCTAAAGGCATGTGAAGTCCACCAACCCACACTCCGCCAGCGTGGTGGATTATGGCCCGATTCCCCTTACTTATTAGATACCCTTGCCTAGGGTTTCCCACCCCTAAGCTAACCGGTAACTCGAGAGTTTAAAAGACCTGAATATTTTTTTTTATGGAACTAAGGGGGCAAACGGGCAGGAGGCTCACCTGAAGAAGTGGTCACCGCCGCCCATGGACATCTGCAACACCGCAGGGCTTGCAGATGCGTTGCCGGCCTTTAAGGAATGAGTACGCTCTCTTCTTGAAGGTGGCCAGGTCGTAGCGGTTCGGAAAGACCGCCGGCGATAGCTGGTTCCACAGAGTGGTTGTGCGGGGCAGAAAATGCCTTAAAAATCGCACTGTTCTGGAACGCATCGATGTGGTGTGGATGGAATTTAATATTTGGGCGCGATGTCCGATGATGAAATTCAGCAGCCGGGATCAGTCCGAACAATTCCTCGGAACACTCCCCGTGATAAATGCGGTAGAAGATGCAGAGTGATCCAACATCTCTACGCAGAGCTAAAGGATCAAGCCGATCGGAGAGAGCTTGATCGTCAATAACTCGAGCCGCTCTACATTGAATGCGGTCAAATGGAAGATAATATATTAAAAAGAATATATTATAAAGTTGAAAATTGAATTGTTTAGTCGTGTACAAATGAAACTACGAAAATTATATTAATGTTTATTAAATAGACGCTAAGGATAAGTAAACACTAAACTAGTTAGGTATAAACGATGCATTCACTCACTCTTTATATCACATTAGTGTTATCTATCCTCCAAATAGAAAAACAAATGGCTGTCCATACACAGATTGTCATGCATATAACAATACATAATTTAACAATTGAATGAATTTAATGTGGAATGCTTATGAGTCATTAAATGGATATATTTAAAAAAAAATGGAAATTTAATAATAAATATTTTACATTATACGTACGTCATGTTGAAAATTTTTTCGTATGCTTTTATCATTCTTATTAGATAATAAAATAACTTTAAACGTTACTTTTGGTCGAGTCGTGTAATTGTAATTTTAAATACACAAAGTCTACATTTTAAATATGTGGTCAAAATTCAAATTCATAAGAAATTACTTCTACGTATAATAACTATACGATTACATAAAGTTTGTCCATTCGATATACAAAGTATATTAAAATTTTCAAATCTAGCAGAATAAAATTTAATATTTATTGTATTTTAATGACATATTTTTATATTGAAAAATATGAACTGGAAATGTTTCAGTAGAATAAAAATATCTACTGCACATTGTAAATTAGATATTATTTTAAGATGAATTGAATATCTTATTTTGTTAAATAGTTTCAAAAATGCTACGTTTTAAACGTAAAATCTTGATTTTCAACAAATAAAAGTATCACAATAGTCTAAGATCCAAAGTAAGGATGTTCTTCGCCCATCTGCTTTCTGTACGAAAAGTATTTTGTATTAAATAAAATATAGGCAATGGGCAACTATTTTTTGTTTCATTTGCTTGTTTATTACTTATAATTTATGTACTTGTTACGCCAAGACTTCCTATGTCACATAAAATTGTATGTGCAATACCATTCCGTCCTTGCAAAATTATGCATGATCGATTTTTCGCAAGCAACTTTAGCATGATTAGTATACATACTTCCTAACATTTATGTGGTAAAAAAGCCAGTGGAATATTTAAAAAATCCTTTTTTTTAACAGCCCATTTACGATATAGTTGTTAGTTTAAGCTAGTTAATTATAGGATATTCATTATTGCACATAAAAAACAAAAATTACAAATATTAATTTGGACTTATCCCTGAAAGAGATTTCTTCCAGTCAACCTAGGAGGTGAGAAAGATTGTCATTTAGCGGAGCAGAAAAGTGCAAGGTAATATTAAAATAAAGTACATAAAAATACAACATTTTTTTAAATACTTTTTTCCGGTAAGCAGATGGTCGGAGGAGATAGGTAGGTACTTTGAACCTTCTACTACTTAGAATACATGTTTTAATTTATTTTCATGCTGATAAACATTGTTAAGTACAGTTAATTGTTATAATGAACCTATTATTATAAGATGATAATAGCATTTTATTATAAATTACACTGATATAAAATGTTAGGATTATAAAATGCACACAAGTCACTTCCTTCGCCTAGGCTTTAGGCTCGAGGCAGGAGGCTAGATTCGCAATATTATTTGCGAAACAATGTTACTCACAACAGATAAAATATTACTAATCCGTCTGACTTTATAGGTTTTGTGTAATAGGGCAACTCAAAGTTATTTGTTTTTTAAACTTTATATTCTTAATTTATTTTTTTTCGTAATATAATCGTTATTGGTGGTTTAAAATAGGATATTGAGGCTTATTTTTCAATTATAAAATATAAGTTATCATGTAAATTATAACCTTTCAGAATAGAAATGTGAAATAGTTTTAAACTTTTGAATATATAATATTTGGCTGTAACAAAACAATTATTTTTTTACAAACGAACAAGTTTTTTACAAGTGTTAAAAATAAACCATTTCACTGTCAACATTATAAACAACTTCCAAACCTAAATTTGGTGCCCTAATCTTAACAAGAAATATTTTCGTACCCTTTCTTCTCCATTTCTATAATAAATAAAACAAAATACAAAATAGGAACATAAGTACAATCTGTAACCTCTATTATAATACAACATATCACATTTTCACATACAACAAAAAATAAATGACTCAAATATCTATTGATTTTTCAAAATGAAAGTATAAAGATTTTGTATTCACTAGTCCTTGCCTTCGACTTCGTCTGTGTGTTTCATTTAAGAAAATATGAAGAGTTTCCAAAGTTTAAATAAGCTATCAAATGGTTACGCTAAGAACGCTTAGAACGTGGTAGGTGCTATTGGCATGATACAGTCAAAACTAGTTTTATCTAGATTAATCAGTTATAAGCAGTTTTAACTTGTTATGGTTATTCAACACAAGTTATCCTCTTTAAAGTTTTATACTTCAAACTTTAATACATACGTTAATTATATTTATTAATCATTATTCAATGAATTTATGAAAAATAATTATTTATATAACTTCCTGCTTTTAAGTCGATTTATAAAATATTTTTTATCAAACATTATCTTGTATTAAATTGTATATAATTTGGCGTGTTAATCAAAAATTTTGTTAAGTTTTGCTTATTTTATTCTTAATACTTTATGATGTAAATTTTTTACGAAATAACCGACTAACTCTACTGAAAACTATTCATTACTTACGCAATATTATAAGTTGAACGAACTAAAATTTCGAACACTGAATTTCATTAACATTTGATTCTCGTTATTTTGTAAATTAAAATTTAACAATTCTGAGTTAAATAACATTAAAATATACATACTATGCATATAAGATCTCCAAGTTGTTATTTAAAAATACGATAAACTAAACATCACTTTTACGGTTTCCTACACTTTAAATACTGATAAAATAAATTATGTGGGTAACAATAAAAAAATAAAAGCAAAATAAGTAAATAAATATTTTTTTTATAAAAAACCTGCTCAACTTTGAATTAACTACGAAGAAAATAATAAATAATCTATGCTTTTGACAGCGAAGTCGTCGGCGAATGCTAGGCGGGAAAATTCCTAGGCAATAAAGTTTTATCTACACATTAATACAATTTTGTAAAGAAACGTTTTCCACAAACACCATAGGTAATTATTACCTATATTTTTAGTTTTCTAACATACACTCTATTTCACATGAATAAGCTCATTCAATAATCTACAGAATTAAGGCTAAGTAGTATAATTATTATCACCCCAGCCTACCCTTTTCTGTTTACTTACATACATGTTCACATTTCTTTTATATATAAAAAATAAATAAATACAAAAATCAATACTTGGGCTTTGTTCTTTATTTTTTAGTAATGAGTCGATCGACTTTCTGATAAATTATCAATTTCTCGTATTTCAAAAATTTTATTTCATCACAACATTTATAAGGTTCTGAAAAGTAATTTTCAGGAAAACTTGCGTGGAGACCCCTTTTTGAATTAAGATATTAAATTTTTGTTACAGTCCATGAACATATTTCCTATTATAATCAAATTAGTCTTAATACTTTCTCCACTTTTTCAATTTTTAAGGAGTTAGGCCACATTTTGTTATAATTACAAAATTTCTAAATAAATATCATGAAGAGTCACGGAAAATTTAAAGTAGTTACCAATTAAGTCATTCATATTTTTTGCCTAACAAAGACTTTCAACACATAAAATAAGGCAATCTAGTTATTTATGCATACAATTATTACCAGTCATTAAAAATATTTAGTTACCCTTTTATTGTACACCGGACCTTGGTAAAACTTCTACCTATCAAGCATTTGCCATTTAAAACTGGTTTGTGATAAAAAAAATTGTTGCAATTATGTTTACAATAATTTATACAATGAATAAAATTTTAAATACACATAGTACCTGTTAGCGTAAATATAATTAAAAGAGGTTGTTCACTCCTAATTAAATACTGGTAACATTTTTTTTAATTAAAGTTTCACAGAACTTCAAGCTCGGCTCGGCATGTAGGCGCAGTTGACAACACTTGACTTTCGTACTCGCAAAAAAAACTGCTTTCACTTTCATATCACATTGCAAAACAAACATAACCTCGTTCTATGTTTCTCACGAAACTTCGCGTTGAGGAACTAAAAATTCGAACCGATTATGTAGGGTCGATGGCTTAGCTCTCCTCAGTCTCGACTAGAACTGGCAGACTCGTGGAGTGTTGGCAAGTAGCAGGCATAGCCGTGAATGCAGTCAGCCAAGCCTCGATATCTCGTTCCAAGCACAAGAATCTCGTTGACACGGTATTGTCATACCCTTTCTGTCTCACAGAGAATCCACAGTTCGAATCCACCCTCTCAACTGTTGTATTCCTCAAATTTACCACCCCTGTTGGCTTAGACAGACGCTTTCTGGGATAAATCACAGCGAAATGCTCCAGAGATGTTCTATACACAACCACACGAACGTCCTGTCGCATCCCGCCCGGACTTAATAGCACTAAAAACCCAGATTTCACTTCCGCATCACAAGTTTTCTTAATGAAACCCTGTTCGAAGTGCTCAGCGCGACACGATGACATGATATCGGTAGGCATTTTACTATTTATTTTATTAAATTCATAACAAATCGGGAGAAGCGCGACGCGTCTGTCCCGTTCGAGATCTGAAATAAACTGAATGTTTCCGCGTAACCTTTGCATCGGTCTCTCTCGAGTCTCGGCATCGTTCGTTGCATTCACTTGAAGCGAAGGCTTTATCGGGTTGAATCAAAAATGTTAATCTCTGGAAATCATGTTACAGACAATAGCGGTGCCAGACATTCTCTACATTTTTTTTTCAAAATCGTTTTTACGAGCCAACAGTTATACTGTTTTATGTTATGTATTATTTACTCAATCTGAGATATACACAAACAGCCGTTTCCGCGTTAAGCCACAATGTTATTGTCCTAGATTATTGCCAATTGGAAGTAAAAATCTTGTAAATCGTATGTATGTACTAGTAAATGAGACATTAATAAGAAAGTGCTGGCTATTTTTTCAGATTTTTTATTTAAACCTTTCAACTCCACATTTAAATAATTCAATGATATTTAAATAATATTCAAATTTCAGAGACTGTTGGCTATTTTATAATTCATATATGTTGTATAAATATATAATGTTAAACTCATTTTAAAAGCCAGATTTGCTGCAGCTCGCCCACGTAGCGCTAAGCCGTGGACCGTTGGACGTAATTTATATATATGTTGTAATATATATGTTTGAGCATAGCTTTTATTTTATGTAGGAAGCTTACTGAACCAGTGAAAGTCACATCGAGTACATACTTTTGAGTTACTAGCATTGCCCGCGGCTCCGCGCGCGTTCAGATGACTAAAACGCAAATTCTTAGGTTTTACATGTTAGCATACCTACTCTTACAATGTAGTTTTCGGGGGGCACGGCAGTGCCCCCGCCAAGTCGAGCAAACAAGTCGAGCAAAAAAATTCTATTTTTTCTCAAATTGAGATACTTTCACAGTAATTTTCACTTTCAGCATTTTCAAAATTTTCGCAGTAAAAAGTAGGTATTCTTTATGTTGACCCGGATAATAAGCTATCACCATACCAAATATCATCAAAATCCCTCCAGTGGTTTTTCTTTGATGCGGTAACAGACAGAAAGACAGACAGACAGCCAAAAATTCTAAAAACTATAGATTCGGCCTCTCTGTTTCGATAATAATGTCTATTTCAATAAGATTTTCCAAAAATATGTAATGTACAGATTCGGCTTAGTTACAATTTTATTATATGTATAGATTAACGGACGGGTTCTAGGAAATAGAGTTTGGCATAGTCTTTACAAGTTATGCTTACGAACAAGTCTTACTGTGGTTTTGCATTAACGAAAAATTCACATAAAAACATGTTCTGAAGTGTTTTCTGTTAGTGTATCGATCTGCGTGTTGAAACATAAACGTGTTTGAAACATCGTTGTATTTACAAGATATTGCAATTTGTTTCAAGAAACATTTTTAACGAGTATTTGTAATCAATCGAACATTATATTATTCATCCAAGCATATTGGCTGCAACAAAACAAATCATGAGATATAATTAGTATGGCATGCGACGTGTTTCGATATAAGTTGGATGTTTTAATTTTATTTATGAAAGAGTAGTAGTAACCGCGTCCATAGGTGATATTTAAGCCTGAAAATGTATTATTAGATTTAAATAATATATACCTATTTTAGTTTCGGACGCGAGAGAAACCACTTTAAAGTAACAAACACATTTACGCATTTGCTTAACTCGGGTGCGTCCTCGAGTGCCGCTTATATTTTAATATTGCATACAAGCGCCACCTTTTGAGAAATTTTATTACTAACAATAACATATGTGGGACTAACACATAATTACGTCATCTATACACATAAATAAAATTGAACTGTCTGTTTGTAATGTCAAAACAACAGCGTTTTACTAAATGCATATGAAATTATATACGGTACTTATAAGAAAAACACATTTTTTTAAATTTTTGTCTGTCTGTCTGTTTGTTCCAGATAATCTCTGAAACGGCTGGACTGATTTTGACGGAACTTTCACTAGAAGATAGCGGACGTTATAGGGAGTAACACACGCTACTTTTATTTTAGAAAAAGAATTAGGGTTGTGCCCAAAAAAATTAAAACGTACCTAGGGACGAATACGAGGGTTCATCCCTACTTACGTTGTAACGTTTAGTATAGATTTCTTAGAGATGAGATATTTTGGTACAGTAAAAAGTATCCCATATGTTGACCCTGATAACCAGCTATTATCATACCAAGTTTCATCAAAATCCGTCCAGTGGTTTTTCCGTGATGCGGTCACAGACAGATAGACAGACAGACAAAAATTCTAAAAACTATAAATTCGGCCTCCTGTATCGATTATAATGTCTATTTTAATAAGATTTTCCAAATAATATGTAATGTACAGATTGGGCTCAGTTACAATTTTATTATATTAAAGCTTAGAATTTATAAGAAGCTCCAGCTTCGCCAGACTTTTTTTCCATAAGCTTCTTCTAATCCAATTTTTCCTATAATCGGTCAATTCCAAATTCAAAATAACTAAAAAACAGTGAAATGTAGAGAAAAACTAAAATTACAATAAAACTTTACAGCTTAACATTTTATATATGGAAAGCTATACTATAATTTTTTTTTTGGTTATTTTAAAGTGCATCATATGGGTCGTTAGTGCATAGAGCTTTGTAATTGCAATAGTCAATGCAAAACTTATAATTGCGAAAAATTTCAACCTAAAAGTAATTATTATACTAATATTTCGCTTCATTCATATTGGCCTATTATAAGCTTTAATCATAACTTGTAATCGAGTTTCTAAACTTGTTACCATTTATTCCAGTTTATTCCAGAAATAACAGACCCCAAGAAAGTTTCTCGCGTACCCTATTAAGATGCATAACTCGCTTTCCAACAATTAATATAGGTACAGAATTAAATAAAACTATAAACATTTTGTATATGTACTTATAGGTATATAACCAGTAACCACAAGGGAATCGGGTTCAAATCCCGAGTCTCACACCTGTAAGTTTTCATATACGAATAGTTTTTTCCATGATTATTTAAGGAAAACATCGTGAGGGGAACCTGCATGTTCAACAGAGTCTAACTAGTTTTCGAAATATATGTCCGCCAACTCACACTAGGCTATCATGGCGGACTATGGCTTGATCTCCATCGCATTGACAAAAGGCCATGGCTGTGGGACGTTATAAAAGAACGTAATTAACTTAATGGACTTTATATCTAAGTACAGATATTTTTAGTTTCATTGTACCTACTTATTGTTTTCTTTTTCTTATAATTAAAAAATTTAATCTATTATTTTTCAATACTAGTATAGTTATTTCTTAGAGTCCTCTTGATTGAAACTGAAGTTAAATTTGTACCTGACCAAAATGATTTTAAGGCAAATATATTTATGTATATTCACTATTTAGGTATGTATGCTAAATGAATATATAATCCATACATATAATAAAATTCTAACTGAGTCGAATCTGTACATTAAATATTTTTTAGAAAATCTTATTGAGATAGACATTATTATCGATACAGAGGCAGGATTTATAATTTTTAGATTTTTTTGTCTGTCTTCCCAGCATCATGAGAAAACTACAGGATAGATTTTGATAAAATTTGGTATGATAATAAATAGCTGGTTATCCGGGTCGTATATCGGGTATAAAGGGTACTTTTTTCTGCGGGAAAATATTCCTGAAAAATCTATACTAAACATTAAAACTAAAGCAGGGACGATCCCGAGCGCAGCCAGGGTGAGTCGCTAGTAGGTATCTACATAAACATTAAAATTAATAATAAACGTTTGAGTTTTCATCTTATAGAACTCGTATTTATATGACAGTAATTAATGTCACAGCTATTTATTATTTCCTAACATATTTATTTTAGCACAAAGTAAAAGTAAGTCAATAAATTTAACAGTTTATTATAGGCTCTAGGGTATTAGCTATAAAATATAAATAATAATTGAACTTTCTAATTTAGGAAGCTGTAATCTGGTTCTATTTATTTGACAGCTGGTCATGGCGAGAATGTACCTACTCGTATATTTTTTTTTTGATAACTATTATAAGAAAGGCAAGAGATGTGCGAAATGAATTCTATTTAATACGTGGAATAAATAATAAAATAATAATTAATAATTAGTTCTTTTTAAATACATACATTTATGTTCTTGTTCACTACATATTATAAATAAATAAATAAATAAATATGTCAGGACATTAACACAGAAGACCATCTAGTTCCATGGTAAGCTAGGCTTGTGTTATGGATACCAGATAGTTGATACATTATACATATTAAATACATACATATTATAAATATAAACACCCATGACTGGAATACAAACATTCGTGCTCAGCACACAAATGAATGCCCCCAGCGGGACTCGAACCCGCGACCGCTGGCGCAGCAAGTAGGGTCACTACAAACTGAGCCAAACGTGTCGTCATATATTGTATGTATGGATAGGATATTGCGAAGACATGTTCATTCTAAGTGGCAGATACTATTAAAAGTTATGGGTTATGGGTTTATTGTTGATTTGAACCAATCTTTTTTTTTTTAATTTTATTTGGATAATTATTTTTAGGATAATAGTGAAATTTGAATATAAGTAGATCAAATAAGTGGTGATAAGTTATATTACCTAATATCTTATATAATATTGAAGTAGATACTACTTATAAGATAAGCGCATTTCTGACACGTATTAAGTGCAACACTTACTAATATTCATGTAATATATAAAATGCAGAACGCAAATTTTAAGCTTTGAAGATAAAATATAAAGTCCAAATAAGAAGCCGTAACAGTATAATCCATTATATTATGCACTTCAGTAAAAACATTGTTTCTTGTAAGCAAATTCTCATATTACAAGATTATAGATAGATAATAGATAGATAATAGGTAAATATTATTGGTATAATTTATTGTAACTATACAAGAGGTACAAAAAACTGCATTCATACACTCAAAATAGATATTATTGTAAAATAACTTT